ATTCGGGCGTGGATTCTTCGGGCTCAGCGCAAACCCAGCTCGGGGATATTGGAAGCAGATGCGCAGCAACTTTTTTGGAGGAACATCCCAAACAACCTGGCGCGGCCAATATTTTGTAAGGCCGCCTCTCCTGGACCGCGAGCGGCTCCCGAACCGGGCTCAGCCAAACTCCAGCTCTGCAGGGTGCTGGCGTTCTGGCTGTGCACCGTTTGCGCGAAATTCTGTCAGGTGCGCCCTTATGAGTGTGACTAGAGGGCAGAAAATCCACCCCCATAGTAATCACCCCTGCACGCGAAGCCGTTCAGCAAACGCACCCACAGAAGGAATCGAACAGGGCAGGGCTGCTTAGTAAACGCCCAGGGCCGCTGAGCAAACGCCAATTGCCGGGTCAAGGTGGCTTTTCCTTGCACGGTTTCCCCCGGGGCCGTAGGCAACCCGAGGAGGAGAAGGAGGAGGAGGTGGAGGAGGGGGAGGGGGAGGAGAAGGAGGAGGAGGAGGGAGAAGGACGGGTCGCCTAAGCCCTTCGGAGAAAACCTCCATTTTTCCTCCCTTGAGTGACGACCGCCATGTCGGGTATCGTACGAGACCGTCGAGCCCACTCTGCACGCGGCGGGGGTGGGGAGAGGCCGTGGGCGGCTGTGGCGGCAACGCTCACGGAGGTAACATCTGCGACGGCACGGACCAGAGGGGCGGTCACGATGGAGGCAAGGCGCTCTCTGTCCTGGTGAGCGTCTTGTTCTTCGGCGTTTCGACTCTGGCTGCTTAAGTACGGCTGTTTGGAACCGTGCGTCCTAGGGGGGAGACTCCACCGGCTCGACACAGGCGCCAAAAACAGCCAAGATCTGCTCCATGCCGACCAGCCACAACTGGGGGAGCTGTGGTCCTTACCCCCCTGGGGGAACCCATCGCATCGACGATCTCTCGAGAGGGGTGTCGAAATCGATGGGTGCCCCGGGGGGGTAAGGACCATAGCTCGCCCAGTTGTGGCTGGCCTGCCATGGGAGGGGGGAGGGGGGGGCGAGGGCGCGCGCCGATCGGCAACACAGTGGATAAAAAACGATCACCTGGCACGGTGAGAAGTACGGAGTTGACAGATGGCCCGTCGCAGATAGGCGCACCGACACGGCAGAAAGGAGCGTTGGGTGGCCAAGGACGGGATGGTGATGGTCCTGCCAACGGCAGCAGTGTTCACAAAGCCCGCGGAGGGAGCGGTATCTGTGATGGCTGTCGTACCTACAGAGCTGAATGTGGACAGAGTTCTACCGCCACACTCCTGTCAAAGAGATCCCTCGCATTCCCTCGTTAACCCGACATCCGAACCCCCCTGCAATAACGCTGCATCCTCCAGACTTGTAAGGCTCACCAAATTAGAAATTGGGTCGGTAAAGCTACGATCGGCAGCACTTGATCGATTTTGCCCTGAGTCGGATATCAGCGCCTCTTCACATGAATCCCGGCGCTGCACAAAAGATCCCCGCTTCGCATTGCTGTCGCGCCGCGCGGATTCCCCGCGGTCGAACCCTCGTGTATGGAAAACCTCTGGGCAATCGCTCCACGACGCCACGGCAACAACGAGGGATCCAACGGGGTGTCCCAAGAATCAGTCGGACGTGCTGTCGAGAGTAAGACTCTCCGCAAGCCCGTCAGCTCGACGTCCGCGGAGACAGACCAAAACCTCACAGGAACGGGCGATCCTCAAGTCCTGCTGCGCTGATCGAGACGCCGTGGCGATGGAACGCAGTGGAGGGTGCGAGATGAGGTGCAGACTAGGGGCGGCGAGCCCCGGGGGGAAGCGAGAAAGACGCGCCTTCTAAGAAGGCTCGGAAGTCGCCCGGCCCTCTGAGCCGAGGACGCAGAAAACTTCTCATCGAAAGGCGCGAGGGCTTCTCGCGTCCTGAGGAAGCTTCGCAGAAAACTTCCCACTTCTTGCTTCGCAGAAGACTTCTCGGAAGCCGCCTTCCGAGGAGGACTTTTCCTTCTCACTTCCCACCCTCGCTCGCCGCCGAGTCGAGGGCGCGAGATAAGGTGCATACCAGGAAGGCAAAACCCCTGTGCGGCAGGGCGTGGGTCAAAGTGCAAGCTCAGGAGGCGAGACCCTCGCAAGGTGCAGGTCGAGCAGGCAGGGCCCCTGCGCCCCCGGGTGCAAGTGCAAGGCACAGGCGAAGGAGGCAAGACCTCGGCACGATAGGGTGCCAGTCAAGGAGGCAAGCACCCTTGCTTGGCGGCGAGCGCAGGGGGGGGCCGCGAGCAGGGGCGGGCCTTCTCGGAAGGCTCGGAGGTCCCCCGGGCCTTCTGGGAAGGCTTCCCAGCCTTCCAAGAAGACACCGAAAACTTCTCGGAAGGCGCGAGGGCTTCTGAGAAGTCCCGCCGCCTTCCGAGAAGGCCCTCTTCCCCCCTCGCTCGCCGCCGACTCGCACGTCAGGATCGAATCCACGACAAGGGTACAGGTCAAGCAGCAATCGCCCTTGGACGCCCACGCGGAGCCCGCTTGCAGCTGCATCGGGCCGTGAGGAGACAGGCAGAGGAGGGCAACGATGCACGGCCAGCCTTGGCACCACACCTCTGCTGCAGGCTCTGACGGGCATCCGCCCCGCCCTGTCTAAATGGGCAGCCACATGCGAAACCTACCCTGCAGGTCGGATCTCTGAAACGCCGTCTGGGGGTCAGAACTCGAAGGGCGTCTGAAGCCAAGTGAACCCAGCGGGGGCGCGTGAGACCCCAGCGTCGATTGGAGCCGCAGGGGTTGGGTTCGCATTGGGTCGCAGACTAAACGACTGGTGCATCCCTACGTAGCTGGGCTGCTCCCCGCCGCCGCGAGCGGCCCCGCCACTGCGGGGAGAGAGCCGCCCACGCGCACCGAGGGCGGGGCGGGAAGCGCAACCCCTTCCAAACGCCCAGTGCCCAGCGCACAGCGGAACACGCCGCCGAGACGGCTGCACCGTGCACGGCTACTGACCGGGCACGCGCAGCTGCGGCGTCCCCGTCGCCCGCCAGGCGTCGTCCGCGCGCTGGCCGCTGGCGAACGCGCGCACCGGATTGATGTCGATGCCGCCGCGCCGGAAGAAGCGCCCGGTCACCCGGAGGGCCTCGGGCGCGCACCGCTCGGCGATGGCGAGGAAGACGCGCTCGACGGCGTTCTCGTGGAAGCCCACCTGAGCGCCGAGCAGGAACGGCTCGCACGATGGCACAGCGACCTGACGCGGTGGCTCGCGCGAGCCGCCAGCGCGGCACGCTGCCTTGCAGGGGACGACGCGCGGCATCACGCGGGCAGCGTGCCCGCGAGTACCCGCGCGGCCGACCCGGGCATCTCAGGGTGACGAGGTCTGTACATATCCACTGCTCCTGGCCAGGCCCACGGCCAGGCAGCGGATATGCATGGAGGCCTCCTAGATGGGGTCGGAGTAGATGGGGTCGGAGGACCGCGCCGCCTCGCCGATGCATCGGCGATGCATCGCTGATGCATTGGCGACGCAACGGCGCGCTGCATCGGCGACGTCGGCGTGAAGAAAATCGGGCCCCACATCGAGCCGCATCCTAGATGCATCGGCGATGCGGCACGATTCACCGACCCCATCCACTCCGACCTCGTCTGGGGAGGCCCAGGAAGTGTGTAGATCCCGTCGCCCGTCTTCTGCCGTCGCCCACCTCGCGCCGCAGCGAGACCACGAACCGCAGCAGCCCGGCTCGGTCGATGGGCGGGCCCCGGTACTCCACCAGCAGCGAGCCTCGGGTGGGCGGCACGGGGGTCGAGGAGGAGGAGGAGGAGGAGGAGGAGGAGGAGGAGGAGGAGGAGGAGGAGGAGGAGGGGGGACCTGAACAGGGGGTGAGGAACGGGGCCCTACATGGGGCCCCTTGGGGCCCCTTTTGGAGCCCCTTTTGGGGCCAGCGGGGGCCCAGGAGCAGCCCTGAGGGACCCAGTTTAGAGCTCTTTGCTTCACTCCCATTTGGGTCACCCCCATTACCGGAAGGAGCCGAACTCTAACACCGACGCTTTTCACAACCACGCGCTGACATTCGCACAAAGAAACGGATCCTGGCGTATACGGGATCATGGCGTATACATGTTTCGCTGTTTCCCCTACATGACACCACCCCGACGTCGCCCCAGACCCTCCACAAAGTCCTGGGGTTGGAAAACAGCCCGCCACTGGTGATGCAAATGTTCCGATTCCCGAATGTAGGTCACCCGTGGACCTTGGCGCACGTCACGGGTGACCTTTGGCGCGTTGTTTGCCGATCGCTGCATGCTGTGCGACAGCAACAGCCTCCGTGCTCGGGGGGTTCGGCCCCCGCCCCCGCCCAGCGCAAGCCGCGCACCACAAGTCACTCCGGCGAGAAGCTCGTGCAGCCGTCTGCGGCCAAGTCCGTGCAGCCGTCTACGGCCACGGCGGGCCCACGTCGCGAAGAGGCCGGCGCTGGCGTCTGACAGGGCGTGGGCCACTCGACCTGGAACGACTGAGGCGCTCCCGGAGCGCAGGTGGTTCGGTGCCAGCCGTTACCGCCCGCCCGAGAGCCCCAGTCGGGCTGGCCCGTGACGGGGCAGCACGTGCGGAGCAGGTGCGAGACGAGCCGCTCCTCCGTCGGGGCGGCGGCCGCGCCCCCGCCCGCCTCGGGGCCCGCCCGCCGGAGGCTCGCGGCGTCCGGCGCGGCCAGCAGCTCCGGCGAGACCTCGCCGGTGTCCTCTCGGAGCATCGTTCCATCAGAGCTCGTCTCGATTCCTCCGGTTCGACTCGATTCGACCTCGATGGCTTCCGATCCCGGTTCGGGTCGACTCGGGATTCCGATTTGGGCTCCGACTGCTCTCTGGAGGCATGCCAGCCTGCCGATGTCCGCCAGTCCGACCCTTCCCGACTGGGTTGCCGATTTCTGCCGACCCGATACGCTTCGATCGCCGATCCGACGTATCGAGTCGATGCTGGGCTCTCCTGTTCCATAAACCCCTGCACGTTGGTGGCGGGAACAGCTGGCCTTCGCAACGCCTTGGTCGCAGGCATCTCTCTGCGTGGCGGCGCCCCTGCCGACGCGCAGGCCCTCTGCGACAGATGTGAGTTCAAGCATCCCGTCGCTGCGCACACCCTCTGCGCGCCGACTGGCGTCGCAACGCGCGCCCTCCCCGCTGCTGCGACCAAATGTTGAAAAAAACAAAAACAAAAACAAACAAAAAAAAAAAAAAAAAAAAAAACCTTGAATTCACCATCAAAGTGTCCCCACGGGCGTGGCCTGGGCCCAACTGGCCGACTTGCCCCCCTGGCTGGGGACATAGGCCATTTCCTTCGGGCTTCGAGGGGCACATCCCCAACTGGGGCGGTGAGATGGTAGGGGTCGGGATGGGGATGGGGATGGATATGGGGATAAGGGTCGGTTAAACGATGTTGACCTGTGAAGGGCCAAGGAGGCTGTTTGTCATTATGTAGACTCGAGCAAATCTTACTTGCATGATGGTATTCCCCCCCCTTCGCCGCGTTTCGAAGTGGGTCCCCAAGGATGAGGGAGGGATCGCAAGCTGAACCTTCACTGCTTGACGCCACTCGTCATTGGGGCACCATCCCTCAGGGCCTAATCTTTGAACCATCGCATGCGCATTGGCGCCAACACCAACACAGGAAGGAGTCTCCACCAGGGGAGAATGATGCTGAATTTTGGTGCTGGTGGTAATCTCTCGGCACCCAAGAAGCCTGAAACTACCACCAGCACCGAGGGCAGGATCAACCTCCCTCGGTGGAGGCTACAGCAGATACTGGTGCTGGTTCCAACCGTTAGGCTTCCGACGATGGTGTTTCCCTACTTGCGGCTCGCTACAGGGTTCTGACTGTGGTGTGAAAGCACAAAAGAGTCCCACACGGGAGACGGGGAGCCAGAGAAGGCACGTGCCGGCAGCCGCTTCGCGCGAGACCTCCTCAGTGCATTCAGGAATCGTGTGTCCGCCTCAATGCCGGCTACATGCTTGGGCGGGACGGCCGCGATCCATTGTAAACAACACATGAAGGTGCACCTGGCCGTGCTCTCGCCCATGTCATGGCTGCATCCTTCGCGCGCTCCCCAGGAATTCCCAGGAATGCCTGGGAATACACGTTCGGCTTCCTACCCCTCGAACCGCCTGTTCACCTCTGCTGGTACAGTCGGACCTGGGGCAGAAAATCATCCTTCACGAACATGCGAACCTCCGCAGGCCAAAACACACAGAACATCAGAGGGTACCCTCCCCGGGATGCACGAGAGCATCCAACAAACACGAAGAGCATTAGCGTACACTCCCCGAATCGACCTCGATCTGATATCTCGGTCCGACCATATCAGGGTGCTCTGCTGGGGTAACGTTGGAGGCTTGGAAATGGCCACCAACTCCAACACAGGGGGGGGCCTCCACTGGGCCAAGATGATCCTAGGTTCTGGTGTCCGAATATTACCACCATCATCGAGATCGGGATCGTCGTCCCTCGGTGGAGGCACACCGCCGATATTGGTCTTGGCGTCAACCTCTAAGCCTCCGATTATGCTCTCTGATCCTCGTCGTCGATGCAGGTCCAGGCGCCCGCGTCCAGCAACGGCGGCTCGTCACCGACGATCGCCGCCGCCGGCGCCTGGCCCACGACGGCCCCGACGTCGGAGGCCACCGTCGCGAGCAGCTCCGCCTGCGAGGCGAAGCGCCGGAAGTTGAGCGAGTTCAGGTAGAGCTCGGACCGCGGTCGGTCCAGCCGCCCGGAGGGTCACTGTGAAGGGGCCCAGGGGACACGCAAGGAAATGGATACAAATACCAGAAATCCCCAAATGGTTGCGTATTTTCTGGGCGTTCGTCTCCCCCTCCGTTTCCCATCAATACCCACATCTTGCTGGGGATCGACGGTTGCTTGTGTCTGTGGGTTATCTCCCTCCTAACACTGGACCAGAACGCAAACGACACCACCCCACCACGACCCAGACACAATCAACCCACCCCACCAAGCAAAACCAAACGACACCACCCCGACACCACCAACGAAACCAGGCGAAAATTTCGGCACCTGCCCCGTGCAGTCTCAGCGTTGTTGTCGTGGAGACCGAGGCCCGAAACGAGTGCGCGGCAAGGCTGCAACAATTCAACTCGGCGGGTCGTAGGTGGGGTGGTGTCGTTCGGTTCATGGTCGAGCCACGGGGGCCTCTTGGGAGCCTCACGGGACTTCTCAGGAGCCTCTTGATGGCCCCCGGGGGCGTTCTAGGAGCCTCTTAGGCCGGAGACCTCGAAATGTCGCGCTCGTCGGGCCCTGTTGGGTCGCCCTTGGGGCTCTCTTTGGGCGCAGCCGAGGCTCTCTGAACCTATCCGGGGGCCGGGCGCAGCCCAGCTCCTCGCCGTGGCCCCAGGCGTGGACGGAGAGATCGGCGCAGCCCCCGCGCGCGCCTCGCGCCCCCCTGCCCCTCGGGGAGAGCTCCGCCCCGTCTCCGTGGGCGCCGACGCACGACGGCAGCGAGGCCCCTGCGGGGCACACCTCCCGCGCGCCCGCGCCCCGTAAGTGGTCTGTGGGG